ACGATACAAATTCAGTTATCATAAAGCAGGCTGCACACCAGGTCGATGACACAGCACGTCCATTCACAACAGGCTCAATGCGGGCTTTATTCGCGCCATAAATCAATTGTGTGCCCACCTTTATTGTGGAAACTAAATATGTCACCGCCTAATCCTTTAAGAGTTTTCTTATAACTCTCTTTTGGTAGTACACACGAAGTTTTAAGATGCAGCAATCATATTTCTTCAAATAAACCCACCCACCCTTACCCGGCTCTACCATCAGACCAGCTCTGTGACTCTATGATATTTTATTGCCATCTGACGCAAGAATGTCAAACTTATAGCTAAATTGATCACAATGAAGAATGTTCACTAATTTTGTTTTTTAGCTTTCTGTATTCTCTGTTAAAAATAAAAAATACTCGTGAAAGAATTATTTCGATACGTCAATTAGTTTCCAAGATTTGAATTTTAAAAGTGCGGGCGGCGGCCGGCCCGCCATTTTATGCGCGTGACGTCATATTACAGTGACTGGCTCATATTTGTATGGGTGGAATCTTGCAAGCTGAATTAAGACCCACTTCCAGGCAACCGATTAAGCTGAAATTTCGCAAACACATGTGATTTGGATGACCATGCAATATTATGATGACATGGAGCTGATCTGTTGATGGAGCTGGAAGGTAATTCGCAATAAAACGACACAATCGCATCAAGTTTAGGTTTGGTTCAATTTTAATTTCTGTGATGGGGCTGGGTGTTAATATGTATAATAAGTTTGTATTTACAAAAAAAATGTATTTAAGTATGTTTATATCCATTTTCTAGTGAGCGGACACTGTGAATGTACGTCACGCGCGGTCACGTGACCGTCGGCGGGACTCAATATTTAAGCGAACTTTCAATGCCTATAAAATCATAACTACTGGGTATTTTTGAATGAAATAAAAACTAATGTATTTGTAAATGTAAAAGCCTAACTGTAACATAGGTTTCAAGTGATTTTGCATACCTAGTAACATTCTCAATTGATTTATGTATAAAAAAATCCAATACTCAAAACAGACAACCTCTTCGCTTTGGATCTACTTACCTACATTAAAAGTGAAATTACAATCTTAAAAAATCACTATAGGAGTGAGTTTATTTACAAGAATTGGCTGACTATAACAAAGGTTCCATTAAATATGAATTAAGATGGTTCTAGTAAAAACAACTGTCTGAAACATCTTCGATTAAAGAAAGGTCTTTAATTTTATTTACCAACATTTCCTTCCACAAAAACTGACTAACTACATTTTTTGCTTTTGCGCATTCAAATAAAACCTGCTCATTTATCTTTAACCTACTCACATACTATGCTCACATCCCACAAAACATCTCAATGTTTCTCCTCGATTCAAACCCATAATCAGTCACTATCACCATCAACATTGTCGAATACTCTTTTATAGTTTAATATCATCTATCATCACCATGAGGCATGTGACAAATAGCTCCTTTCATATTCGCTTTATAGAATGTTTGATAGTATTAATTATGTGGTAAAAAGCTTGTCAATGGTTAAGAAGGAAGATGTAATTAGATTGACGGTGTGGGATGTAAATAAGAAAAGAATTCTTAATATCAATAGTCGAGCCGAGTAAGATAAATTTTGAATCGTAATCGGAAATTCCTATGAAACGCAGATGATCTTAGCGTATTATTAGATGAATATTACGAATCTACACTTAAAAAAATAGATAGAAGCCTGTTGACTCAATGGGCATGTATCATAATGTGTGTCGTTAAGTCCTTGCAGCACTAGTTTTCTGGCAAGCCAAAAGGGTAAGTTGGTAAAATATCAGTGTATGTTTTCAATACACTTCAAAATTAGAGATTCTTTTTTTTTTGCAGTAGAATCTACTTAAATGACCTGATGATGATTATGTAGGTTTTCAAATACACGGCTTAATTTTCCTGTAAAACAAGCAATATTCTCAACTAGTATTCTTATTTGTTTTTTTCTCTAATCACAGAACTGGCTCTAACAACAGCGTCAGTAGGTAAACTGTACCTATTTAAAACTCTCAAAAATTCATTAAAAACTCATATCACTTATTTTTGTTTTGATTTTTAATTTTTTTCTTTTGTTTTCTTTTTCTTTTATTTTTTCTATTTTTTTTTTCTATTATACTTTTATGTATCTACTATTCTTATTTGTTCTCCTCTAACCCCAGAACTGGCTCTAACAAGGCCAACGCAGTGGGCAGCATAGGTGCATTGTAGCGGACCACAATGGCGTGTGAATCAAACTGTATAGTTGCAGTAAAAATACTGCGAAAGATGATGCACTGCGAGGGTAGGGCTGTGTGTTTGAATTGATCAGTAGTAAGTTTTGCTGGTTTTAAAGTTAATAATTGTTCCACATTTAAATAATTTATAGGTGCATATTACTAAGAAAGTAGAGCACATTTGGTTTAGAGATTGCGATAAAAAAATAAATTTTAGTCTGTGTATCAAATCAAAATGAAATTATGTAAGTATTTCTCTGTATTATCTGCATATCTGCCAAATATGTAACTGAAATACATTTTACAATTTCAAGTTCATATCGTGTTCATACAGAATATCTCCAATGTTCTTCTGATCAATTTCGTTGCGGGTCCAATGACAGAACTTTCCCCCGGACAAACTTGACCTTGACTAGTTGGGTTTTTATTAGCGGTCTCTCTCTCTCAAAAACTCATTTATGTATGCAAGTAGGTTTTTTAAAAAGCACTTTTACAAGGTAAAGCTCTAAATCCATGCAAAACAGGAGTTGCAGCGGCAGGAACGAAAAGTGGAAATTTTAATAGTCCTGTGTACCACTCCCCGGACATATCCAAAACCATTTTAATCCGTTAACAAGCATGTCGAATACCGAACTATTTACTGCATATCCTGCAGATCTCTCCATAAATCAATAATAAGGGCAGCGACACTCCTGCAGAGGCAGAAGCTGCGTAGGCGACAACAGAGCCCGGGAAGGCTGTGTACAGGTACTCACACATTCGCTTACTTAAATAAGTTTGAAAATATCTAAAAAGCTTTTTTCATACAGTTCAACGGGACTTGCCAAGCGTAGTATCACGCTATTAAAATTTCTTAGCGAATAGAGTCGCTTCTCAAACTAAATTTAAAATAAATAAGGCGGGACTCGAACCCACGACCATCTGGTTGCCGGGCGATTGCTCTTAAAACTGAGTATTTAAAATGTAGTAAGTATGACGCTTCTCTGTTCGATGGACCAAATAGCTTAGAAAGATAGTCCTTGATTGCAGTGGCTGGATCAAAAACGGGACATTGAGGCTTCTGGCTCTACTTTGAACCATTTTCAAATGAGGTGAAGAAAAGAGAAGATTGAAGGCAAGCGGTTTAGCGAGTAGGTTATTTCCACAGTAATGAAGCGGAGCAGAGATGTACGGAGACTTCTTCTGTTTTATAAGGTCTTCACATTCCCGTTCCACTCCACCCAACTCAATGCAACGTATTTCCAGACCTGACATGAATGATGACATTAACAACTTTAATGACCCCACTTATTACGATTGCTGCTACTCGTGATCAAATCAATTGAAGGACTTTTCAATGGAAAGCACGAAATCGCTTGAAATTCAGCCAAATTATTAGTTAGTATTTGCAGGTCCGATGCGAAGCAGAAATTGTAAAACTAACTATGGATTTTCAATCAGTAATTACACCTCACGTAATATAAGAAGCTTCCGACATTTTCAAGACAAATCCCAACTAATATTATCCCAACTAATATCCCAACTAATATTATAANTCTAAAAGAAGATAATACTCAATAATTTCCATATAATAATACGTAAACATACGTACAAAACGAGGCGACTACTTGCGTAAGTCAGTGCTTTAGTTCTGCTAAAATACGTCACGCATTTTTATTAGGTTTTTACTGCAATTCTTAGTGAATGAACATTTAAATGTTTATACCTGTATGAATAATGCTGTCGTATATTCTTAGAAAATTGTGAAAACTAGCTGCCTAAATACAGTTCCTACACTAGGTATGCTAGTTATTACTGGAATTTAATAGTAGTCAGATGAATTGCATCTATGGGTTTTTCGCGTGCGGACTACGAAGTATGATATTGCAAGTCGATTATGAAGTGCGTGCGCGCCGAGTAAATAGGTAATAAGCATTAAGTAGGGCTAATTTTTATAATGATTTCCCTGCTACATGTTTGACGAGATATGACGCAAAAATATTAGCAATAATGGATACTCGTTTGTTTAATAACTTAATAGCATATTAAAACCTGTCTTACCATGATGGTATGGGCCGAATTATAATCTATAGGCCTATCCTATTATAGTTTGATTCATGGTTAATATGAATGTGATAGTCAGTAAAAATTTAATTCTGTAAATCTAATTATAGCTGTTATTATATTAGTTTTAATTGGGCAATTATTTGTTTAGCTGATAAATAAATAACTTTAAGACACTGACTGATTAGTGTCAGTTTAACAAATCATAGCCTGATTAATTTGTTTACCTTTAACTAAAATATTTGGTGAATTGTTTTATTTTAGAAGTTTCTAAAACATTATTGCTGTCAAATAACAATACATCAAATAATTCATAATAAATGTTATAATAATGTGCACATTATTTACTTATTTATTGTATGTATAACTCATTATGGAGATATCTTGTTTTGAGTTTACGTACTGACTAACATACATGTGATACAATAATAATAGTTCCCACAACATATTAATTTCTCAAATATCTTACAAAAAAAAAGAGAACTTCAGGACCTTGATTTTAGAGACTATATTATATTTTGTTTTATAATATTATTACCCAATTATTATGCATTTACATTTAGCAACTAATGATGTTGCATTGTAATATTTTACTTTATTGTTATTAGAAAGTTATTTGAAGCCAATATATTGGCTTTAAATTAGAAAAGTATTGAAGAAGTAAATAATATTGTAAAATTCTAGATACTTATACTACCTTACCTTTTTATAAATTTCGAAGCTTGTAAACTGTGTGGCTGCATATGGGAATATCCGGACCATTTGTGCACCGTTTCCCTTGTACAAAGCAAGGAGGGACTCGTTCCGGACGATAGCAGACAGGCCTCCAAACACTCCGTGGTGTTTGTAGTGCGACGACTGTGCTTGCAGGAGGATCTTGATGCGGTCTAGCGGGGCTACCGTAGTCTTAGCGCACATGCCAGCTACACCTAAGTAAAAAGATTGGATTGGTGATCAATCATGTTTCTAGATACTTAGCTACTATTGGGAATTTTTTTTAAAAAATATTTTAAACATAGAAGAGTCTCTAGAGGGACTTATTTATTCACCAGCAATAATAAAAGGACTGACTTACCTCCAGCCAGCAGATTCTTCAGTATAAAATCAAGATCGTTTTTCTGTTCCATTTTCAATGCCATTTCCACTTCTTAACAATGATAAAAACTTTTTACTCAACTAAATCACTAGATTCACTTAATATCCCGCAGAGGCACAGTTAAATTCATGGTATTCTAGGTGAATAATTAATTCAGTAAATCAGCACAGTCGTATACATTTTCTTGGCGATTTGGCACGCAGCCTTTAAGGCAACTTTCACCAGTGAGTCCAGCGAGCGACTCGAAAACGGACACACCAACTTTTCTACCTTCCTAGCTCGGTCGCGGCACACATCCAACCGGCCCGCTACCGCGTCTGGCGCGATAACATGAATGAAAATAATGGCCGCATGCCAATGAATGATTCAACAAACGAGTCGTCTGTCAGATACCAGTTGCGGAAAGCCAACAAATTATGAACAAACACAAACCAGCCGCCACACAAACGCAAACGTTCGCCATAAAATGTCAACGTCAACTGTCAAATCAAAATCAACCGTAAATGTCAATGTCATTCTTGACAGTATTATTCCAATTTACTCTTTCTATTTTGTAAATTAAATCAAAAACTGAATGATAATGAATTTCAATGAATTTAACTATTATAATGTTATATATCCATATAACGTTAAGATAATAAACCAGTGCATTTTCTAAAGTATTTTTTAATAAATGAAATTAATATGTGCAACAGTGACATCTAGTGAGTTCATTGAAAGATCTTGCTTGTCTGCTGACAACAAAGAGGATATAATTCACTACGTTTTGCTGACAAAGCTACTATAGTTCCAAAATACTGGACTGTCCTGTCGATGACATTGACAGTGGGGCGCCACCGTCAATACCGGATCGCTGGTTCAGATTTTTGCCATGTTGGAAAACATATAGTTGAACGATGGTAGCGCCCCCCTGTCATTGAGTTTGGCGGGACAGTTCAGCGTGGGTCATCTATACAAGCTTTTCCTCCAGATGTCACTGTACGCCATACATTAATTTTGGCGCCATTTAGAACGGATACGGAAAGCAGATAAATAGTTTAGAATTTTATTGATTAGTTTAAAATAGCAATAATAAAAGTTGCTTTATTTATTTAATCTAATTTTTCATCTACAAATACCTTGCACAATATTTCGTGCAACAGTTGCGCAATTTTCAGAGGGAGTAAACGAGTCCTGTTTCATTGATTACAGCTTTCTTTGAAGGTCACCTTGAAGCGCGAAAGCTCAAAAAGGGAGACCGGCCCGCGCGTCTAAAATCGGCTACTACGTGTTGATACGCACGTTGATAGCCGGCGTTGGAAGAACTTGTATTATTTATTTTAAATCCTTTCGAGGAAGAATTACAACATGTTAACGTTTGTTTCGTGGGCAAGTTAAAATTCACCGGCACTTGCGTGCGTGCAGTCGTGGTCCCGATTTTACGGCGTACGAACGCTTTCCGTGTTTTCAGTGAACGAGAGCAAACACGATTTGGATTTAGTTTTCAAAGTTTTATTCCTGGATAGTTTTGGAAGATGGATGTGCCGGCGAGAGGAAATATTTTGGGACGTAAGTAATAGATTTTATTACCGCAATTTAGTTTTAATTTTATTAATTGAGGTTATTAATAACAAGACGCGAACAATATTTCGACACTAGACAATTAAATAAAATAAGATTTTCGAAATAAATGAAACAATCTTTATAACTTAAGTAAAACCAAGTAAAATAATATTTATTTGATTTGGTTCATTATTTTTCTTCCCTTCTACTTATTAATTTCAGAAAATGATTACTTATTTAGTCAAATTAATACTAATAATTAAGTTTCTTGGGAGTATAGACTCATATTTAATAGTATTTTATAATTAGAAAGTTATGAAAGCAGTGGAAGTCTTCTAATGCGTTATTTGTGCAATGCTCTATCATAATTTCATTTAACAAATAACAATTCTTACAATATTGTTAATGCGTAGAAATAAAAGTGGTTTGTAGGTCACACCGCCTTGCTCCTGAAACGTCCTTGAAAGGTCAAAGACGCGCACCGTTGCCCTTGGTTACGCGGTTACCGGTATAGAATCGGAGCCGGGATGCCCTGGGAATTCTCGGGAGCAAAAAAAGTCGCATGATTTATCAATAGATAACATAAAAACCGTCTTTCCTTCCGGATATGAAAAATAAGATCAAAGCTAAGCCAATATTGCGCCACCTGAAAACAAAAAAACATTAACGATGCTAACATTTTATCCCATTTTAAAAGCTTCGTATTTAGATAGCTAACAGCACATTCGTCTCCATAAATATCAATGAATGTAATTACGTCATGTAAAAATAGGGTAAAAATGCAAGTGGTTGGGTTTGTATGAGTTTTGAATTTCGGAACTTCCTAAAACAGCACAAAACTTGAAACACAAATGATTGTAGTTATTTTTAATGCGAACTTTCAAAATAATATAAAAGGTTTAGTTACTAATTATGTATGATATCAAGCAAATACAACGCACTTGCGTAGGAAATTAGACTCGTTTTCCTTATTTAAATATTAAGTAAGTAGGTACGTAAATAAACTGAATGTCTGCATTAGTCAGGTTATACCTAATATAGTTCTTTTATTTATTTTTAAGCATTAACCCTACAGTGCACGATTTTTCCAAATTGAACAAAAAAAAATATATTACTTTTAAATGTTATCTATGTTTCGGGAAAAATAATAAAAAAAATCTATTTTCAATATTTTCGGAAATATTTTGAGTTTTTCAGTATGTACCAGATGTGTCCCAAAATGCATTAAGGGTGCCTAAAGTTTTATGTATGGTCTGACATACTGTCGGTGACAATGAAATAAAACAGCAAAATTTATTATGATATATTTTAATTAAAAATTAAATTAATATTATAATAAAATGTTTTATGTATAATATAGTAAGTAACGACACCATAATATGTATAATAGAAAATAGGAATTTAATGAGATCAGTAACCATTATGCAGTCTTTATCCTCTTGAACGAAATTTTACGTTTTAATAACTATTTAATTATAAATTTTACATTTTGAAATGACATAAGACAATTTTTACTTTTATTTAGGCACACTGTCACCTTACATTTTTCACAAACTATGAAACATTTCAGCCAAATGACGTCCAGTACTAGACAAAAGCCTCCTCCGAGAATTTCCTTAACGACTGATCCCGCGCTGCCCGCATCCAGGTACTGACGTGACCTGCACCAGATCATCGGTTCACCTAGTGAGGGTCCTGCCCACACTACATCTTCCAGACCATGGACTTAAACGATTAAAGAATTCCCCTTACAACCTGGAAACGTACAACGTGTTCTCGTAGTTAACCATAACGGGGAGTTGTCGATGCCATCAGTCCTGCTGGCGTCTTTGGCTTTTGGCTTTTTTTCATCCTTTACTCCAGCATATCAGAAACGAATGACAATCATCATCATCATCATCATCATCATCATCATTTCAGCCACAGGACGTCCACTATTGAACAAAAGCCTCCCCCAATGATATCCACATCGCCCGGTTGGTAGCGGCCTGCATCCAGCGCTTTATTCCTGCTACCTTTATGAGGTCGTCGGTCCACCTTGTGGGTAGACGTCCCACGTTACGTTTACATGGATTCCACTCCAGAACTCCCATACCTTCCCTGACCCATCGGCTGTCAGTTCTGCGTACTATGTGCTCTGCCCATTGCAACTTCAGCTCGCTAATCCGTCGGGCTATGTCAGCAGCTTTAGTTCATTTATTGATCTCTTCATTTCTGATTCGAAATATGCCCAATTTCAGTTTCTGTAACTCTTTTTGCGTGTCATCATCTGAAATCAATCAAGTAATATATTTACCCTTATTGCACAGTGACCCATATCAGGCACATACAAATAACATCCAAAATATGCGTTGATAGTAACTGATATCAAAAAATACTTATTTAACAATAAACTAGAAACAATAACTTACCCCTTTTATATTTTTTCGAAAGAAAACATTGTAATTTTCACTTTTTTTCCCAAGAGTAAAACTTTACTAATAAACTTTTTCACAAACTGACCGACTTTTTCGACTGCACAACACTTTACTGAGTGCAGCGCTTCCGTGGCGACAAATGTGAGCTATTTTGTTATGTGCTATAGTGTGTAGTTAAGGTACTTTCTAATAGATGGCATTAAATAGCATCGTGTTACGAAATATAGGCAATAATTTGGTATGTACCATATGTGTCCCACTATGCGCTGTAGGGTTAAGTACAAATATTATTAATTGTTTATTTTTTATGATTCGATTAAGTAGAGTCACACGTAGGTAGGCCAGACCAGCTGTGTGCTAAATAAAAGTAAATTTAGCGTTTCTTTCTTTCATGTTTTATTAATGCTCGGAAAGTGAAGAACGAGAATAACCCATTTAAATCTTCAAATATTTTGGCGTCAGTAAGTATGTCATATCAATAGAGAGGTTTCTTTGTTGATATGGCATGGCTGTGCTAATTTGTCCTGATTTGCAATAAGTAAGGCACGTTTAACATCGTACAAGTCTGTTTTTTAAATGACTTGCTTTTGGTTTTTTCTACTAATAAGTACCACAGTAGTCTTTGAATAAATACGATTTACTTAACAAATAAACGAATCGGTAACTAGTCTTGTGTAAGTAGCTGAAGCGCAAACGGAAAACTATAAAAGGAGTGGATAAAATACATTAAAACCCTGAAAGTCCCAAAAAAGCGCGAAATGTCTTATCAAACACATAAGTTAATTCAGTTATCATGTCCGTTTGAGTCCTAAGATCAATTCCCACCATGTGGTATACACATGGGATTATATGGCTCGAATATTATAGCTCTACGCCATGGGGTTTTAAAATTAAGTAAGATTTCAAATGGTAGGAAGATAGATAAGTAGAGATAACAAAAAATAACTATCACAGTAAACACAATAACCTACTTAAGTTTGCACAGTCCAGTCGGAGTTCTTATCGCTAAAATGTTTTCCAGGCAACCTCAATGATATAGAAAATTACTTATACGGGTCATTCCACAAAAATATGTCAACTCTTAGTCCGCGCCACATTTCACATGAAATATTTGTTAATATTTTATTCCAAAATTGTTAAATAACAGCTCGCAATGTGCTTTATTCATCACCCATTTATATTTTATGAAACTATTTTTAAAACATCTTAAATTCCTTTTGAATGACCCAAAACGTCATTCCCTAGGCATGTCCGTACTCCAAAAGTTTGTGTTTTGGGACCCACATTTATAAAAACATCAACTTTATCCTTTGTTTTAATTAACGAATAATCTATTTAAATGTATATTACACCAAATTCTATTAATATTTTGCGGTTTCAATAAACAATAATTTGATTTTCTTTAGTTGAAAAAGAGTCTACAGTTTTTAGCGTCATTCCCTCGCCACGCACTGATTTTATAATTTTGCGCTTTAATATGTAATTAGAGTGAATGACATTTAGTTGAGTTTAAAGTACGATACGAAGTTATCCTCAGACCATACTGGCTTTGCGGTAGCCGTTTTTTGAATTAGTGGTTGTAACGCGACCTCTGTGGTTAATGCTCGCATTCGAGTTTGGCGGGCTTTATTTTACAACTCACGGGCTCGCGCGCTCTGCCGGCGCGCTCTCACCAACGGTCGCCGGCGTCTTTTCTAAAATCGACCTTATTGCCAGTCCGCCCATGGCCGCGACGCGTGATTATTACTCTCACAATATTTCGGTGTTTGGATATTGTTTTGACTGATATAAACCAAGTTTTATGTACATTTCGTTGTGTTAAATTGACAATATACTTGTTGATGATTGAATTGTGCCTACGAACTTATTTCACGACCCCGAGACCAACTTAACAAGTATTACACGTCGAAAATATACAGATTTTTATGGAATGACCCATACATATATTTTTTATTTGTTTTAGCAATAAGCAATGAGTAATTTAAAGTACTCGTATATTCACAAGTGGTGTGCGACATTCTTAGGCCGTAGCTGGTTGCACCATCTAAAACAAACTTCAAAAGTCATACAAACTTCATACAAAAACACCGGTTATGGTTAAAGTTACGCTTAACGTTAAGATGGTGCAACTTAGGCTTAATACTCAATTATTATTATTTATTGAGGATTGGGATACACCTCAGGATACACCATACTACGCATCTATTACGGAATGATGGTTCATCTCACATAAAAATCCGAGGAATGGGTTCATAATCATCATCATCATTTCAGCCATAGGACGTCCACTGCTGAACATAGGCCTCCCCCAATGACTTCCACATCGCACGGTTGGTAGCGACCTGCATCCAGCGCCTTCCTGCTACCTTTATCAGGTCGTCGGTCCACCTTGCGGGTGGACGTCCCACGCTGCATTTTCCGGTACGCGGCCTCCATTCCAGAACCTTGCTGCCCCATCGGCCGTCAGTTCTGCGTACCTACTATGTACCCTGCCCATTGCCACTTCAGCTTGCTAATCCGTCGGGCTATGTCAGCGACTTTAGTTCGTTTACGGATCTCCTCATTTCTTATTCGATCTCGCCATGCGCG